CAACTGAACTCAAAGAAATATGAGAAGTTGTGCAAACAAGCAGGAAGGAATATTTCAAAGAGTAATCCTGAATTAATCATGAGAAGGACCAAGGGAGAACTGCAGTAATAATACTACACATACAGGGATATGGTCCTTTTTAGCCAATCACCTGAACTTTCAGCTCTTAGGTGCTAACCCTGCGCTAATACGGGCCAGGAAAGAAACCGATGGTTGGGCTGAGAGTGAAAAGTTAATGATTTATCTTATTCAGCTCAATGGTATGGGGCTGTCAAATAAGAATAATTTTTCAAGATACACACCAGAACTAGGGTGTCCAAACAAGCTCTTACCTTTTACAGTAAAGCTGATTACTCCTCCAACAAATTTGCCTGTCATGCCTCCTCTAAAACTGCCCTCAAAATCAGTTTACGGTCATTCTAATTTTTTGGAGAGTCATAACTAAAACCAATTTTTAATCACTCTCATCTTCTCAGTCACAACTAGCTTGGGCTCCAAAAAAGATCAACCCATTTTTCTCTATTTCAGTCTAAATAACCTACAAAATGAAAGTCTACCTGCAAAGAATTAAAATTTGCCACCATGAGAATTTTCAAAAGAACGTGCCAGGCGCCCAGGAAGCAATTCCTAAAGATGAGTTCCAACAGATACATGCAAGTTTTAAAGGGTAGATGATGCCAGGTTTTGGTTATTTAAAAATGCACACCTGACTTTCCTTAATACTTATCACTTCAGGTGTGACAAATGTTTTCCTAATTTTCTGATAAGGGCGTATGCTATGCACTCATGACTATGCTATGCATTTTGGGGGGAGTGGCCCACTTTCCAACTGTAGGTGAAGTGAGAAAATTTATTAGTTTTCTGGTGGTGTCATTCTACTTGCCTGCCTCTGAGACTGTGAAATACAATTTCCATGCAGCCTCTTTCCATCTTCCTCTTCAACTCCCCCCACTCTTTCCCATTCCTAAAAGGCGACAGACTTCAACTCCTAGGAAGCAGTCTGCCCCGATCCCTACGCCTTCAAGGTGGACTCTGTGCCAAGCTGTAAGGACCACAGAGATGTGTTAACGAAATGCACAGGAGAAAGGGAGGATGTGACTGTGCTGTATTTATGCTCAAAGAGGTGGGCAAATGAGGACCCCATCCTGTAAGTGTCATCTTAAATACCTTTCCAGTCGCCATCTCTGGACTCAGACACTGGAAAATTTGAGCTCCAGATGTATGGGATTTACGACTTCTTTCTTGTCTTCACTCTTAGGACTGAACTGTACAAGCCAAATCAGTCTTCTCTACTAGCCAATCTTGTCTTATATTTAAGAGTGTTCTGCTCTTTCTTTTTCACAATGACAAAACAGACAGTTCCCTCTTTTCTTAGAAGGCAGTCTCTATACAGAACTCATCATGGTCTCTTGTACCGTTTGGTTGGTTTTTGTTGTTATTGTTTGTTCGTTTTAAAGATTTTAATTATTTATTTTTTCTTGCACAGAAGAACTGGGTGTAGGCCAGAGATGCAGGGGAGTAAGAGGATTCACCAGAGACAGAATGGGGATTAGAACAGGTGGATTTACTGAACTACACTGCTAACAAGAGCAGCAGGCAAGATAGGAGAGGTCTGCTGCGCCATGTGGGTCAGTTCCCTGGCTAGGGATCAAACTCAGGCCACTACAGAGGGCCATCAGGTGGTAGCACTGAGACTTAACTCCTAGGCCACCAGGGAGGCCCCTTGGTTGATATTTTTAAGTGATTTCTCTATCAGACTTGAAGCCTCCGTCAAAGCTAACTTATTACCTCATTCACTTCTACATATCTCTAGCACACAGTAGGCATAAAATAAGTGTCTCCTGGGTCAAATACATGAATGATAGATTTGAAAGACATTTCAGAAAGAGAGTCAACAGGACTGTTTGGAATTGTGGCACATAACTGGTTTGTAGCATATCCTTAGAATAAAAATTAGAGTTAATAGCTTGTGCAATAGCAGTAAAGATATTCAAATCATTCGATGGTAACAGGTGCCATAATTACATGGCAGCTTGAGATAATAGCACTTATTACATAAGCAACTTTACACAAAACCTTTAACTTTCCCCTTCGGTTAAACCAACAAAATAGAAAAGGTAGGACAGGTGATAACGCTACCTATTCTACCTAATCACAAAGTTGTAGTAAAGCTCAAATGACTTAATGTATAAAATCATTACAGAAATATAATGTATTAGCAGGCAAATTTAAACAAATAATTTTCATCATTAGTGTTACTTTATGTGCGCACACGATCTAAAATGTATGACTAAAGTTCAGAAAACAGAGCTTATTGTCAAACAGATAATTAATATACGATTAATATAATAATAAATGTGGGTCATGAAAAAAATTCCAAACATGGGAATACTGTTAGAAACAAACCTCTTACTGAATTTACCTCTAGGAAAGCTCATCATTATGTGCAAGCTCAATTTTAAATAACTCTCCAGACAGTATCCAGCTGTTCTTTTTGGTGCAAGAAGCAGGAGGTTTTCACCACCAAGTCCAGGGTGACCTGCCTGAGGCACCAAACACAGCACCAAGCTCTGCAACACACGCTCTGCGGCAAACATCCCAAGGAGGCACAAACCTACATTTCAGCACAGAGTTGGCTGATCTGTGACCAAAGCCTGCAGCTAAAAATACAGGCAAGCACAAAGAAAATTCTTTAACAGTATACAGCTCAGGCTATTACTATAATTAGGATCAACTACAGCCTGAACCTAAAATATGAAAATCAAGAAATGAGTGCACCAGAGCCGGTGGTATGTGATATAGACAGTTAATTTAACAAAAAAAAAAAAAAAAAGAGAGAGAGAGAGAGAGAGAGACCAGTAACTTGTCAGATCAGTAACTATGGAGAAAATGTAAAACAAACAAAAAAGGTTCATTTGAAATATGCTGCAAACACCACAAATAACACCATGCTACAGATCTGGGGACTGCTGGGCTGTTTTAACTTTATTTGGATTTCTACAAAATGTCTTATCTACTTCTGCAATCAACCATCCTCTACATGAGACAAGAGAGAAAGACAGATGGCCAAGCTGTTGACACTGCAGACGCAGACTCAAGGTTTTTCAACTACATTTGTTCAAGTTGTCCATTGCTAAACAATGAAATATAGACTAGAATAATACAGATCTACAAGGAACCAGTTCAAAATAAGTCACGTGCCAAAAAAATCCTGCAGTCGAAAGCAAACCCTGCATCTGTACTTAAAATGTTTAAGCTTGATTCCAGTTTGTAGGAGTTTCACACTTTTCTGAAGGAAAGAAAGGTGAGCTAATCTGTGTGAGTCCTAGAAATAGTTCCTCAGAATCATCTCTAGAAACACCCAGAGAAGTAAACAATAATCAGCTGAAAGCAGATATAGCAAGAATAAGGAGCTTCCAGGATTTCCCTCTCTGTGTAAAAGCAATCAACTCCTATTTTTAATCTTGCTCTGACGCAAACATCGAGCCAAACCTCTCTTTCTGGCTAATCATAGATCGCTAACTTGTTACTATAAAGTCAGTTTAAAGTCAGATTAGAATGGAAGTCATCACAGATTTAATGACTGCTTGAGTCTAGAAGAATAAGGTATCCTGAGAAACAGAACCTGTGTTCATGCCCTGAACACTTCACAAGAACAAATTCATCCACCACCAAGGGTTCTGGGGACTGGCCAAAGAGTAACTTCCCAAACTGATTAATTGAAAAATAATACGTTGGTAATTAAGTTCAAATGAAAACAACACCTCCCTATACATTGGGAAAATCTAACAGGGTTATTAAAAATAATTATTTCCTTCCATGCCCAACTGGATTTAAATACTCAACTCTACTTCTGGCTTTTCACTGTATCTATCATATTGGGGAGGGCAGGGAAGGGAGATAAAGCCTCCACAAGTAAACAAAAAAGTCAGAACTCTCCTGGGAACTTGTCCACATTCTTCTTTTCCAATCAACAATTTTTAATCCACTTGAAAAAATGCTCGTGAAGAGGGCCTCTGGCAAAGAATTCAGCAAGAATATGCAACTCTGGGGACACGGCTATAGTCCTGACATCAAGTTTGGAGAAAATGCTGCTTTTGTCTCAGAGGCAGCCGGGGATGAAAACAGGAACTTTATGGAGAACTGATCGCAACTGCAGAGAAGCCCGATCACATGCCCACAACAGAGATCGTTTCTCTCATTGTTGTCCAAGGGACTTCTCCAATAATAGTGGCTTGTTTGAGGCCTTTATTCGAATTCTGAAAATAAATCCAGCCCTCCTCGTACCAACCCGTCGTCAAAAGAAAGAGGGTGCTGGGCAGGATCTGCCTGTAACCCGCAGCCACCTCTCTTCCCTCTTCACCCCAAAGGTGACCAGATGCGGAAAATTCAGGCCAAAGGCGGTCGGGGGAGGGGAGGGGAGGCGAGGGGAGGCGAGGGAAGGGGAGGGGGCGGCGGGCGCCGCCGCCAGTGACAAGGCTGGTCCCAGCCCGGCCCCGGGTGCCTCTCCCCGGACGAAGGCCACAGCTTCGGCCCCTCGGCGGCCCCCCCGCACTCCTGTCACCGGGGAGGCACCTCGCATTGTTACCGGGAGAAGAAACGCTGCGGATTTCCCGTGGTCTGTCTCCGAGGGGGCGGGGGGCAGCGCGGGCGAGGGGCGCCCCTCGCAGAGGGCAGCGCGGGGCGCAGGCTGTCAGCGCCCCGCTCGCGGGCGCGCCCCCCCCCACCGTGTCCAGCCAGCCTCCCGGGCTGAGGCCGGAGAGAGCAGCTTTGTCTCAGGTTTTGGGGGGCAGGGAGAGCAGATGCCGCCCGGGCCCGGGGGGACTCGCCCCCAAGCCCTGGCTGAACCCGCGCCCGGAAAACACAATGAAGGCGAGGAACCCCACCGGGGGGGCGGGGGGACAGCCCTCCCGGGAGCGGCGGGGCCCCGAGTCCGTCTCCCGCGCGCGCTCGGCCCCGGGGTCCGGGTCGCTCCCGCCCGCGCCGGCCGCGGCTCCTACCCTCCGAGAGCTCCAGCTCCAGCTCCGCCAGCTGCGCCCGCACCTCGGGCGGCAGCGCCGCCACCGCGGCCGGCGCGGGCTCCAGGCCTCGCTCCGCCATCCCGGCTCCGCCAGCCGCGCTCCGGAAGACGAGAGAGGGGGCCGCGGGAGGGACGGCTGACGCGGCCCACACCCCAGCTACAGAATCCGGCTCCGGCCGCCGAGCGCCGCCAGCGCCGCCGTCGCAGCCGCCGCCGCCATGAGCGCGGGTCACGTGACGGCGAAGCCCCGCCCCGGGCGGAAGACGCACCGCCCCCGCGCCGGCCCGGCCCGCACGCCCGCGCGGACGGCGCCCCCTGCCGGCAGCTTCCGGGGCGACGCGCCCCGGCCCGCCGCCCTGTTCTCCGGCGCGAAGTTGGGCTCTGGGTGGTGTCAGCGCGGGTGGGTACGGTTTGCCTTTTAGAAACGCACGAGCAAGGCGTCTTCCTGGGTCCCGGGTCTTAATTTTCCTGTTCCCTTCGCTTGGTAATGTATGATTTTGTCTTATCTGGGCCTCCGTTTCCTCCTGATTGACACCTGCCCATTTACAAGGACCTGATCGCAGGCCACTGCTTGTTTGGGCTTTGCTGCCCCATCTGCCAGTTTTGTTTCTACCTCCTTCTAGCTTAAGACAGGAGAGGGAGAATCTGTCCTCCTGCCTAGGTTTCTAATTACTGGCAACAAGGGAACTTAGTCTTGTCTTTTTATCACCTTCAGTGTATTACCTAATATGCGTTTCGAAAATATTATTACTGTAATCCAGTATAAAGGAGACTCCAAAGCTTTGCGTGTATTTTCCAGGAACCACTGAGAAGATGCTTTATATTGTCATTCATATTCTTCCTTTGAATTTTTAGGGGCCCCCCCTGGTGGCGCAAGGGGTTAAGCCCCGCTCTGGCCCAGCAGACCTCTCCTGTCTCGCCTCAGCAGTGTATTTCAGTCAGTCTGCCTGTTCTTTTCCCCACTCTGTCTCTGGTGAATCCTGTCACCCCCACCCACAACTCTGGCCTGTACCCCAGCTCTTGTATGCATTAATAAATAAATCCTTACCAAAAAAAATAGTATTGAATTTTTTGATAATCTAATGCCATTGGCAGGAATATGGATGGAGCTAGAAGGGATTATGCTGAGTGAAATAAATCAAAAGGAAAAATAATATTGGATGGGTTCATTTATAGGAGGAATACAGAGGAACAAAATAAGGGATCAGGGAAAAAATAACAATCTAAAAAAAGACACGACATAACTAAACAAAAATAATCAGACAACTACAAATCAGAGACGCTGCAGGGGAGGGGGAGGGGAGGGAGCAAAAACGCGGGTGGGAGGAGCACAAGGGACTAAGGTGATGGTGCACGGGTGAATTAGGGGTGGACATTTTATGGGGACTAAACCTGATATAAAATATATACAAATAAAGAAATTAATTATAAAAATAGTATTGCATTTTTTTAATGTCAAATCCCCTATTTGAGGAATTTCAATGTTTGCACTTCATTTCCATGCTGATACGAAATCGGTCCTTTAAGAGAACAAGGTACAGTATCTGTTCAGTGTTTTGTCATTCATGGGATAGAAAGGAGAGAGAAAAAATTTTAAGTTGAGAAAAGAATTTTACCTTGAAAAAGGGTGGTGACATCATGGCTGATTGAGGGGTGGACTTTGAAATTTCCTTATAACTACAATGTATGGAGAATCTATGAGAATATAAGCATCTGCCTCCTCTATTTTACCCAGTATTGTTGCAGTTTTTGTTTTTTTAAAAGGTTTATTTTATTTATGCATAGAACTGGGGTGTAGGCCAGAGGTGTGGAGGATGAGAAGGTTTACCAGAGGGCCTCCCCGGTGGCGCAGCGGTTGAGCGCTGGGTTGCAAAGCTGCCCCGCAGCCTCTGCAGCGCCGGTTAGATCCCCGGCTGCTCCCCGGCCACTGGAGGAGGGTCCCCCATGGCGCGCAGACCTCTCCTGCCGCCCGCTGCTCCCCTCAGCAGTGTACTTCGGTCCTTCTGCCTGCTCTGCTCCCCGCTCTGGTGAATTCTCTCGCCCTCCCGCGCTTCTGACTGTACCCAGTGCTTGTATAAATAAATAAATGTTTAAAAAAAAAAGAGGTGGTTTACCAGAGACAGAGTGGGGAGCAGAACAGGCAGACTGACTGAAATACACTGCTGAGGGGAGCAGTGGCCAAGACAGGAGAGTTCTGCTATGCCATATGTGGGTCAGCTTGCTGGCCGGGGACTGAATTCAGGCCGCAGCAGTGAGAGTGCTGAGATTTCATGAGATTTAACCTGTAGGCCACCAGGGGTTGATGAGTGTGAGTTAGACTATTGGATGGAGAGATACAGCTTAACCATCTGCGTTGCTCCAGGCGAAACCCAACCAACCACAAGGCCATACACCGATAGTTGATCAGTCCACAAGTGAGCCCAACCCAGTCAATGTGTTAGCATGCATGCACACCAAGGGGTACCCCAGGACTCTCAAACTCACACTGTAAAGGGATACAGCCAGCTATGTGCACAAAGATAAAGCATATTTAGCATAAACAAAAGTTAATGATTTGGGCCTCCCCTGGTGGTGCAGCAGTTGAGCGCTGGGCTGCGAAGCTGCCCGCAGCCTCTGCAGCGCCGGTTTGATCCCTGGCCACCAGCGAAGGTCCCACATGGCACGACAGACCTCTCCTGCCGCGCCCACTGCTCCCCTCAGCAGTGTACTTTGTCAGTCTGCCTGTTCTGTTCCCTGCTCTGGCTCTGGTGAATTCTCTCACCCTCCCGCGTTTCTGACTGTACCCAGTGCTTGTATAAATAAATCTTAAAAAAAAAAAAAAAAACAGAAGGGGGTGAAAAGGGTCAGGTGAGTCTGGGACCAAAGGAGCAAAATCAAAGTACAAGTCAAGATAATGGCTGCCCATTGTCAGCCTCCCCATGTCTCTCAACCACCTGTTTGCTCCAAGTTCCCCAAGTCCCTGGTGCAAGTCCAAAGCTGAGACAGAAGGGAGCATTTCTTCTCCACGTCTCCCCCTCAAGATCAATTGCCTTCTGTGTTAGATAACTTCACCTGGCCACTCAGCTCTGTCCATCGTTGTGGGGCAGGGAAAATGGCACTTCCCTTTTATGGAGATGTTACAAAGGCACATGAGCGAAAAATGGGTGTCATTTAAAGCTACTCATTTTCGTCACTTTGTTACACAGCAAAAGCTGATAACTGGGTCTGATATGAGCTCAGGAACAATGTCTTCTGCATAGCTCTTCTTCTGAATGGGGCTATAATTGTACAGACTCTTCCTTGCAGTGGTTTTCAAACTTCAGCATGCCTCAGAACCACATGGAAAGGTTATTAAAACAGAGTTGGCTGGACCTCCCCGGTGGCGCAGCGGTTGAGCACTGGGTTGTGAAGCTGCCCGCCGGAGGGTCCCACATGGCGTGCAGACCTCTCCTGCCACCCACTGCTCCCCTCAGCAGTGTGCTTCGGTCCTTCTGCCTGATTTGCTCCCTGCTCTGGCTCTGGTGAATTCTCTCACCCTCCCGCGCTTCTGACTGTACCCAGTGCTTGTATAAATAAATATATCTTTAAAAAAATTTTTTTTGCTGCATCTAACACAAAGTTTCTGATTTCATAGCTGTGGATGTGGCCCATTAATTTCTAACAAGTTCCATGGTTAATTTGATGCTGCTGATATGAGCAGCATCTTGAGAAACATTGGTCTGCTGGATGTTTTGAATGGTTAAGGTTTTTTTGGGGTTTTTTTGCATCAAAGAACTGGGGTGCAGGCCAGAGGTACGGGGGATGGTGATGAGAGGATTCAGAGACAGAGTGGGGAGCAGAACTGGCGATCTACTGAAACACGCTGAGGGAAGCAATGGGCGAGACAGGCGAGGTCTGCTGGGCCACATGTGGGTTAGCTCCTGAGAGTGTGATTGTAAAACTTTTACTGCTACACCACGAGGGAGGGCCCATCACATCAATCTTAACTGTTAAATTCCAAACCCCTCTCTCACCTGGACAATCCCCAAGCCATTTTCATAGCTACCAGAATTATGTTCTCATTTTCAAATATTGTCTTCTACTGAAAGATTCTGAGTACTCCCTTTCTGTGACTATGCAGGTGTCTCTTTTTTCATTTATCCTTTTCCTAATGTTCCTTTTAAAATGTAAAACAGGGGCCTGCCCTCGTGGCACAAGGGGTTAAGCACAGCACTACTAAGGAAGCTATTTGCAGCCTCTGCAGCAAGAGTTCGATCCCCCCCAGCGGGCCAGGGAGCTACCCACATGGCACAGACCTCTCCTGACTCGCCCACTGCTCCCCTCAGCAGTGTATTTCAGTCAGTCCGCCTGTTCTGTTCCCCCGCTTAGTCTCTGGTGAATGCTCTCACCCCCCGTGCCTCTGGCCTGTAACCCAGTTCTTGTGCATAAATAAATCAATCCTTAAAAAGAAAATGCAAAATAAAACAAACTTTGAGTGGTTCCCCATTCCTTACAGAATCAAATGAGAAGTAATTTTCTTAGCGGTTGGGCATGACTCGACTACAAATTCTTCAGCTTTTCTCTTGCCATAATCATTTACATCTATGCTACACCCATTCCAAACTAACGTGTTAAATTTGCCAAGTCTGAATTTGTCAAGTCTCTTTGCCTTTGTTGCCCTTTTCGTTAGTATGTATGCCCCATTCTTTTGTCTATCTAGCCACCACGTTGATCAAGACTTAATTCAAAGTTAATGCCTGACCCCAACAGAGGGTTGACAACTCTGTGTATTCCTTTCAAAGCATACAAAACACTTTACAGCAATATTTTGGCTTATAATGCTTGACTGTATAGCTATAAAGGGTGGAGACAATAAATATGGCACTCTGTGTACCTATTGGTTTATAGACTTATTCAAGATCAAAATGGGCATAAATGAAAATTAAGGTCATTATTAGTGTAGGGGTATTTTTAAACAATTGAATATTGATGAAAAACAGCATGCCGCATAAATAGCACAGTAAAATAGTGTTAAAAGAGTAACATTAAAAATTTAAAGCCTACATCTGGAATCTGAGGATTTCCTATTACTCTCTAATTTTTGTATGTGAGTATACACAAGCTGAATTAATTTGTCTAAATATACCAAGTT